CCCTCCTCTGGACATGTCCAAACCACTGTCCCTCCTCTGGACATGTCCAAACCACTGTCCCTCCTCTGGACATGTCCAAACCATCTCAGTGTGTCCTCTCTAACTTTATCTCCCAGTTGTTCAACCTGTGCTGTACCTCTGATGATCTCATTCCTAATCTTCTCCATCCTTGTCTCTCCTAAGGAGAACCTCAACATCTTCATTTCTACTTCCAGTTCGGTCTCCTGTCTTTTTGTCCATGTCTCTGTCTCCAGACCATACAACATAGCTGGTCTCACCACTGTCTTGTAAACTTTTCATTTGACCTTTGCTGACACCCTTTTGTCACAAATCACTGCTGAAACTTTTCTCCATCACTCCATCCTGCCTGGACTCTCTTCTTCTCCTCTTTACCACACTCCCCATGTTCCTGGACAGTGGACCCCAAGTCCTTGAAGTCCTGCACCTTTTGTGACCTCTGCTCCTTGTAGCCTCACTGTTCCACCTCCTCCCTCTCATCCACACACATGGACTCTGTCTTACTGCGACTGACTTTCATTCCTCTTCTTTCAAGTGCATACCTCCTTCTCTCCAAGTTCTCTTCCACCTGTTCCCTGTTCTCACCACAGATCACAATGTCATCTGCAAACATCATAGTCCACGGTGATTCTTGACTGACCTCATCTGTTAGTCAGTCCATCACCAGAGCAAACAAGAAGGGGCTCAGAGCCGATCCCTGATGCACTCCCACCTCCACCTTGAAGCTATCTGTCACTCCTACAGCACATCTCACCACTGTCCTGCTGTCCTCATACATGTCCTGCACCAGTCTAACATACTTTTCTGCCACTCCAGATTTCCTCATGTAATACCACACCTCCTCCCTCAGCACTCTGTCAGATGATTTTTCTAAATCCACAAAGACACAATGGAGTTCTTTCTGACCCTCTCTGTTCTTCTCCATCATCATCCTCAAAACAAATATGGCATCTGTGGTGCTCTTTCTTGGCATGAAACCATACTGCTGCTCACAGATAGTCACCTCTCGTCTAAGTCTTGCTTCCACAGCTCTCTCCCAGATCTTCATCATGTGGCTCATCAACTTAATTACCCTGTAGTTGTTACAACTCTGTACATCAACCTTGTTCTTAAAAATGGACACCAGCACACTTCTCCATTCCTCAGGCATTTTCTCACCCTCAAATATGTCATTGAATATTTGAGTCAAAAACCTCACTGCCATCTCTCCAAGACATTTCCAAACCTCCACTGGTCATCAGGTCCTGCTGACTTCCCCTTCTTCATTCTTTTCAGAGTTTTCTGGACTTCACCCTCACTAATCTTTCCCACTTCCTGGTCCACAGTTTCTATGACCTCTACTCTTCTTTCTCTTTCATTCTCTTCATTCATTAGCTCCTCAAAGTACTCCTTCTATCTTCCCATCACACTCTCCTCACTGGTTAGAACATTACTATTCCTGTCTTTAACAAGCCTAACCTGCTGCACATGCTTTCCAGCCTGATCCTTCTGTCTTGTCAATCAGTACAAGTCCTTCTCTCCCTCTTTAGTGTCCAGTCTCCCATACAACTCATCATACACCTTCTGCTTTGCCTTAGCTACCTCCCTCTTTGCTCTACGTCCCATCTCCTTATATTCCTGTCTCCTCTCT